GTGACGCATGTGCTGACCTCCATTCACCGAGAGAAAGAGACGTGTTTGTGTTAGAAACTCCTCCAGAATAAAGGCTGGAACAGCAGCTGCAGACGTCCACACAGCTGCCTTTATTCTGCTCCAACGGCTGTGTTCAATACAGCGGCGGAGAGAGCTCAGGACACTGCAGATCCTCAACACACACACACACACACACACACACACACACACATGCACACGCACACCTGGATCTGAAAACACAAACAAAACAAAAACAAGTGGACTGCAGTCAGCACATTGTGTTTGTGTCGCGTGTTCTGTCCATTATTAGCCTAATAAAAGGGTCTGAATGAATATTTTTTAATATTATTCTCATCTGCTAAATTATTTTGCCCTTATTTTAAGAATATCTTGCTAATGTGTTTCCATTAGTGATCGGTTCTACCTCCATATCTTGTGAGGATTTGCAGAGTGTTTTCTATTAGTGTCTGAGCTGTGAGGATTTCCATCTTGTGCCGTCAAACCGCTGCCGATGTTCTCTTAATCTGCTGGTGTGTTTGTCTTGGCATGGGCTCTCTGGGCCAGTTTAGTTTAATGCAGTGACTGATCTCCAATCAGCGGAGGCTGTGTTCACTCAGCATGTGTATAGCGCTGGATGCGTGTGCTTCTCTCTGTCTGATGTACACTGGACATCGCAGCCGTGTTGAGGAGTGTTGTGGTGTTGTGGATGTGATCAGCCGTGTAGAGAGCGGATCCGCAGTGTTGACACACAACAGCAGATCTCCTTCACTCAGGTGTTCACACACAACCGTTCAGCTTACCTCTGTTTTCAACACAAACGGCAAGTATTCAACATAACGTCCTCTTACCGTATGCACATTCTGACTGAGGCTGTTGGGAATGATATTGGTGAGATCTCTCCGCATCAGACACACTGGATCTGTGTGTGGTTTTGCCTGTTCAGAACTGGCTCTGGGAGATGGTTTTGAAGGGAGGAGATGTGTTTTATCTGTGCATGACTGAAATGTGAAAGATTTTATTCCCTAAAAGGTCTTTATTCTTTATAGGCCTTTCCAGTTTAAATAAAGCAACTAAAGGGAAATCCATAGGAGACTCTGGTTAGTCTGAGCAGGGTTTGTTAGGCCTGGTCTGTCTTTATCTGTTGAATTAAGGGCTCGTTTGCTCCACTGCCAGT